TGGAAGGAGCATGCAGATCAGTTGACACATGAGGTAATTGTGACACTCTTGCAGTAGACATACTGCAATGAAGCGTACTGTACTGTTTCTGATGATGTGATTTGGTGAATTTTGAATATAGTTTTCTTTCAACATTATTTGGAACAACAGCCTTTGCCAAACATTGTCATTATGGCAGAGGTTAGTAAATTAACTATATTCCTTTTTCTAACCAGTACACAAGATCTACAATTTACTTTGCGTTAAATGCAAGTACTTACATTAATTAAGCCCATTGTTTCTCCACCCAAACTGTTATCCGTGACAAAATCTTCTTGATTTTGTTCATTCTTGAATGCCTCTTATCCTCTCATAATTCTTGAGTCAATCCTTCTATACTGTGGCTACGTCTTTTGACTTAAACTGCGCCTGTGTTGCTTATCTGTGCAACAATCTTTTGCTTGCTTATCACTTGCTTTGCAATTTTCTTTTTTTTTTTTTTTTAGACCAAGAGCAAATCCCTCCCAAAGCAAAACATCATGGTATTCCCATGATTTTAGGAGGTTCAATAACAATCACATTAATGGTCAATTTGATGTATATTAAAGAACATAAGATGATTTTTATGAGGGAATGTTTGTAGCCGTGTTTCTAACTGCTAGCACTTGAGCTCTATTAAGCATCGTGTAAGCTCATAACCACGAGACCGTTTCTCTGCAAGTCTTTGTCATCGAAGCAGCTTCAGGTTTTGTATGTTGATGACATTATGAGAAACTTCTTTTTTCAAATATTGATTGAACATTCTATATCATGGGAATAACAAAGATTAAAAAGGTAGATTTTGAAATTTTATAATACCCACAAATATATATTTTATTCTGGCAAATGAAAACATTTGCGGAGTTAAATGACTTTTAGCAGACTGTCAAAGTATAACAAACATTTTGGGGAACAATGGGATAGAAGCTGAAATGTTACGCTGTAAAGATAGGGTGGATCAAACTGGGAAAAAAGCTTGCTTTGCTGAGAGCACCTCTTGGTGTGTTGCTGACCATCTCTTCCAGCTGCACTCTCTGCAAAGCGAGAACACCTCTCTCAGGCGGCAGGTCACAACCAATTTCTATCAGATCCCCAGCGGTTCAGACTACCCCGACCCCTCCAGCCCCTCAGCCCTGAAACGCCGGCAGTCTGCGCGGGCCAGTCGGCCCATGTCTATGTATGAGACGGGCTCAGGCCTGAAGCCCTATCTCTCTAAAGGGGAAACCCCCTACCCAGAGGAGGCTATCCCCACCCTGCAACCCTTCCCACCTCATGTAAGTAAGACCTGTTCCCTGCTCTCCTTTGCCATTTCCTCTCCTCTGCCCACTTTCCACAACTTCCCATCATGTCTTCACCCAAACCTTTCTGTTTGCCTTTAAAAAAAAAAGTTTTTACTTCCTCATTTGCCACTGGGTAGTTTTTTTTCAGCGTCAAAGACAGAGTCATCAAAATACACATTGCTGTGTGTTTAGACACAGCCAGTCACATTTCATCATGTCCAGGTACATATTCAAAACCGTTATCCTGCATATGTCTGCTGTTTATTGGAGTGCTACTTGTTTGTCAGATTAAAGTAGTGGTACACACGCCAGGAGATGCTGTTATTATGCTATACTTTGAAGGTTTGTACTGTGTTTTATGTTGATGAAGCATTAAAACTACCATACAAATACTCTTTGTTTTTGTAATGCATGATAATTTCACAAACTCACTTTGTCTTCTCATCTGTTTGGATGCTGCAAATACAGTATTTGTGCATTTATATTGGAGACTATGAATCATAGTTTTCTGGTACTTTTCTCTCAATGAATGAACTCCCAGGCTCAGACACTGAGCTCAGGAAGGAAATGGTTATGAGTTCAGGGAGTAAGTGTAGCAGGATGATCCGTAAAAACAACTAAGCTCTTTTAAGTTCTCTACATAGCCTTGATGGAATTTTCTAATCCTGAATTTAATGGTCATGGTCATTGCACAGGTAAATTTTTCCATCAACTCCATTCTCAGTAGCCATTCGATTAAGCCACAGTTGGTTTGAAGAGCCTTTTGGGACAATAATCTCATCCATCTCGCTTTTTAGTTTGCATAAACGTTTCTCTTTTAATTTAAGGAATCTCTGTCCTTAAAATGTGATTTGAACCCTGTCTTTAGACGGAAAGGGGCGCTTTTGTGACCACCTCTTCATCCCTCCCCTCATTTCCATCCACCCTGTCTTGGTCGAAGGACGAAAGTGCTCAAAAGGTTAAGTACATCCTCCCTCGGCCCACATCTTGTGGGATGCAGTAACTCCACTTGGAGCCCTTAACCATTTATACCTCTTCCCTCTCCTCTCTGTCTTCCACATGTTGCTCCTTATCTGCTCTGCTGCATGAGCCACTCCTCCACCAGCTGCCCTCACCATCAGATATCTGTCTTCATCCGCATCATCCTCATTGTGCAGCAGTACAACTGGAACTGTGTGGTTTTGTAAAGCCAAAACCTCTGCCTCACCGCCGAACGTTGCGCTTGCGATGCAGCACCCTTTAATTTGAATGCTTTCTTTCTTTGCTCCAGAAACAAGTGTAGCAGATGGCATATAAACAGTTTGATTGTACAAAGTTTGTTAGTAGTATCGTGTTTTTCATTTCAAGCACTCTCTCCGTGTAAAGATAAGACGTTTTGTCCCGTCTCCTGAACAAATGCAGAGTGAGCTTCCAACAGCAGACTCTCACTTCCTCCAGTAACACAAGTGGTAACACAGAAGGACACAGTAGCCCAGGAGTTGTTTACAGTATAAAAAGACTGATCTTCTGTTAAGGCAGAACAAAGATTTTAATAAACATGTATAAGCTACTCGAATTTCCAGAGGCAAGCTTATGTGCACTGTGTTGCATTTTGTACTGCGTACAAGAGGAGGGTTTTGTTTAGATTCTTGGACATGGATTGAAAAGGTGTGATTGTGTTGTACAATCGGTCCTGCGTGGCTTGAGTGCACTTGTTTGGCTCCTGTTTCCTGTTTTAAATGTAGCTTTGAATGTGAATCTGCATAAAGTTAGTGAACCCTGTCTTGTTTGAAGATAAGGCATTCCTATTTAGTGTGATACACTTGATAGTTGTGTTGCGTGTGATTTAGTATTCTTTCTGAACTCCTCTGAACCTTGACTTCCCATCCTCAAACAAGGACCCTCTGGGGTCTACTTCCATTTTTGTTTGGAGAATGAGTGAAGCCTTTGTGTCGTGGTTCTGATGTAATATTTCTAGTCACCTGATTAGTTGTTTGTTAACTGAACTATGAATCCATCCTTACTTCAGGAGTTCAAAGGTTTTCATACACAAATGAACATATTGTCACATTTGGTGACGATCAAAGTCGTTCGAATAATCCAATATGATTTGTTCAGGTCAATTTCAAGCATTAGTAATTATTTCAAACTGATGTGAATACACTATCTGAACTCTGCATAATCTGTTTTACTAATCCTGTATTGAAAGCTTTACATTATGTGCTCTTGCTTCACAGCTTTATTGGCTTGCTGCATTCAGAGTAATCTGCATCGCTTTTTACATGTTTATATACCCATTTGACATACAACAAACAGAAAGAGGTACATCTACGTTTACTGTATGTGTTTGTCGCTGAATTTGACATTTGGCGTTGAAATTGGGATTTCACCACAGCTGTTTGTGGTTTACATCGTCAAGAGATGTGGGACGTCTTGCGTAAGACCCATTATTCGTTTGTTTTTTTTCACCTTCTCTCATCCTTCTAGGCCTCGAAGTTAGAGAAGCAAAGCAGCATGCCGGAAAGTGACTATGACAACACATTCAATGACTCTGAGATCGATGATTCGGGGTAAGAGCATCACCCAGACTGGTTTGTACTAAGTGACGAGGGAAAGGCAATAAGACAGTATTCTGACTCCTGAATACAGTTTAAAAAGAGGTTTCAGGTGAAATAATGTGCTGTTTTGTCTACTGAGTTAAAGCAATAAGCAGGGATTTCCTTCCGATTTTCTCTCTGCAGTTTGTGCAGGAGAGTGAGGCTGAGGAGCAGTGGCTGGCTGGGGGAGGGCAGCTCCATCCCTGAGCTGGATGATCTGGAGACGGAGTCAGACCCCACGCTTCCCAGCACAGAGGACGTCATCCGCAAAACTGAGCAGATCACCAAGAATATCCAAGAGCTGCTGCGAGCTGCTCAGGAGAACAAACATGACAGGTTAGAATCTGAAGAGAAAAGGATCGTAATCAGTGTCTCGTCTGTTTTTATAGCTTCCATTTCCTTGCTTCCATTTTAAACCCTAAGTTCCTCTTACATTATTTATTATACTGTTATGTTTAGTTGCGTTTATCTCCTATCATTTCCCCTTTTTCTCTGTTATTTTCACATTTCCCCCTCATTGCACTTCCACTCTGCTCCGCTGTTATGATGTTGTTTTGGTGTCCCGTCCCTCACCCCTGTGAGCAGACCGTGTGAGCGTGAAGGTATGCGTCGGCTCAGGCACAGCCTTGGATGTTTCAGCACTCTGGTGCCCTGGGCCGAGAAGGCCCCCACTCCCCTTCAGCCGCTCAGCCTCCGGTCCCCTGACCCCACCTCCTGGTACTCTGGCCTCTGTCCCTGCCTCCCAGGCACAGTTCTATTTTCCTCTCCCTCACACACTATCTGCCTCACCCTTTTTCTTCTGTGTCACTTGCTAACAAGATATCTCTTTTTCTTCGATGTGCTACTGAATGCTTGAAACTTTCCTTCATTTATTTGTTTCTCTTCAAGCACTGACTTTGAATTTGCTTCAGTGAGTTGATGAAGTTCCATCTATGTAGTGACTGGTTTTTATATTTAGGGGCAGTGTATTTAATGTAACATGTTTTTCAGGTTGATGTTTTCTGTGTAGCCATATTTTCTATTAATACAAAGAATGTAGAATAAAAGTGCTTTGTACCTTACAATGCTGAAGTTGTGTGTTAAATAGCATGTTCTGTTTGTTGATGTTAACCTGAAGTCGAAGATGATAATGCACGGTGTGTTGTGAATACTATACGGCACCTTACTCTGTTAGTTGACGTGCATGTTCGAGCTTCTGGTTAATTGATATTTTGTAAATAGTTATTATAATTTTGAGATTTGTATGAATTTGACATCAATATGTTGACTTCATCATCTCTCTTCACACAGCTTCATACCCTGCTCAGAAAGAATACATGTGGCTGTAACAGAAATGGCTGCCCTCTTTCCTAAGGTATGGAAACGAGTTTGTGTATATATATATATTTGGAATGGATCAGTCAGCCAGTGGTTTTTGGGATTTATTTTAAATATATTACAGGCACAAATACCTGAGTTTCAAGGTCCAAATGCAGCAGTATTTTCAGTTGTGCCAATTCCTGATTTATTATTTTACTATGTTCTTTACTCAAATTAAAAAGCAATGAAATCTCTTAAATGTAAATATTATTTTGTGTTAAATATACATCTTTTAGATTCAGTCCTTGGCCAGCAGAGGTTAATTGTGTTTCTATGGGTCTGCACTAAACCACCTTTCTTTGCACAACTCTATTGTCCATTAGTATTAAAGATATTTTTAACGTTCCTCTGCAGAAGCCACGCTCAGAGACTGTGAGAGGCTCTCTGCGCTTGTTGACTTCCAGTGCGTACCGGCTTCAAAGCGAGTGCAGGAAGGCGGTGCCTTCGGAGGGCTGCCCAGGACCGGACATGCAGCTGGTCACCCAGCAGGTCATCCAATGTGCTTATGACATTGCCAAGGCAGCCAAGCAGCTTGTCACCATCACCACAAAGGAGAATACCAACTAACAGCACTTACGGGGCTGCAAAGCCCTCAGCATCTCAGATTTGTTCTTATATATATTTTTAATGACTTTGTTGTTTTGTATTTGTGGTATATGCATGCATTGCTTTTTTTTAATTTATGAATAAATACTGACAATATTTATGACAACTCTGAGTGTTAAGGGGAAAAGTCAGCAACTTTTCTTAGGGATACCCAGCTGTTGTAATAGCACAATATCTCTTGAGCTAAAATAATAACTTCCACAAATCATGTTTAGACAAGATGTAGCAGCTAGCAGGCCTGGGAAATGTAATGGTTTCTAGATAACAATTAGAGTAAAACTCACTCTTAGTTACTAATAATCTTGAATCAGTACATAATGTGAAGTCTGGAGAGAAGACATTAAGCACAGTAGTAAATCCACATGATGATATTGGTTAAAGTTATCAGTCCAAAGCCAGACATGGATGCTGAAAAGCCATAAATGAATGATGAATCCACTGTCATCGAATGCTATCGCTAACACTCTTATAGGTGGAGCTTCCTCTAATTAATTGCACTGTGCAAGCATCATCGTACTGTAAAGTTTAATCTTCAAAAACAAACTGCCCATTCAGTTAAATTCCATTAAATGTTGGGAACTTCATGCACACTTTGCAATGCTAATGTTTGTTGCATCAAAAAGCTATTTATATGATTTGTCCCCTGTCCAAGTGTAATCCAGTCTGCAGTGCACTTATTGCAGCTATTTGTGTATGACTATTTGTCAAGTCAGTGGAATGCAAATAACACTTGTCCAGGGGCCAAGTTATATTCTTCACCAGCACTAAGATGTTGTATGATTAGGTGTGCTTCTAACAGGCTCCACACTACATTGTATTCTGCGGTCTTGTGTGCCACTGCAGTGTTGGTGATGTTCTTCAGAGCTAATAGCAATACGTATGTCCATGTGTTTTGCGCTCTGTTCTGTTGCTGCTAGTTTTGTATTTAATGTGCAACATATGGGATAGAACTCTAGACGTCTCCTGTATAAATGTGCAACCCAACCTTCATCCTCACCAAGTGTTTCAGAGTTCATTGTCAATTTGAAATCTGATCAAGGTAACGTCCCTCTCTGTACGTGAATGGAGTCTAGGGGTGCATGTGATGCAGCTGTTCAGGTGCACTTTGGAAAAATAATTATTTTCTAAATAAACTTAATTTATAACTTTAACCTGTTGTAGTTTGCCATATTTTGTATTTATCATGTTTCGCTTTTAATTGCCTTAAAGGGATAGTAAGTGATTGTAATCCAGTACAACTTTTTGTTAAATTCAGTGAATATTTCCTAAAAGTTCACTAGCTCTCTGTTTAGTGCGTGCTCTGAAAATAAAATTTCCTCCACAGCCCTGGTTCTGTAAATTAAAAACAAAGAAAGGGGTGTGGACCTTGCCACACAACATTGTTTCAGCCAATCAGCAACAATTGGCATTAGTGCTCGTACACAGGAGTGATGGGGGCAGTGGCAGAGAGATCTATACACCTGCACATTTGAACATGCTGGACTCCAGGCTCTGTGAAGGAGGAGATATGGGCCAGAACCAGCCAAAGAGGAAAAAAATCTGAAGAGCACTAAAGGGAGGGGTGAATTTGATTTGGCAGTTGAGTTCAAATATCAATCATTCTCCAGAATCACTTACTGATACCGAATCGATTTTATTGGAATAATTATATTAAAACAGTCTACAAATTCAGGATAGAAAATATACAGCTATAAAAATCAATTATTTTCTACATATGCAAACATATCAATTATTTTCTACATATGCAAACAACCAGCATAAAATTAACATCAAGATGACCCAATATAACCTACTTCATTCTTTAAAAGATTCTACCAACTGTACTACCTGCACCCCAGTTATTGGTTGATGACAATGTCCATCCTCTCCATACTGGGTGTGAAAAGATCCCTTCACAAACACTGTTCCAGTGTGAGAGATGGGGGCAAAAATGCATTATAAAGCTCCAAAGTTCTTGTTGGTATGGAATACTCTCTCTGTGTTACCGACGCCCCCCTGGCAGTTAAGCAAGAAAACAGACAGGGAATTGCTAGTACCTCACATTAGCTTTGTCTGAACTTTAGAACATTTTTACATGGAACAAGGACTAAATTTTAACCCCCATCTATAACACTGCAATCCTGTACAGAAGGAGCCCAGTTGTAGTGACTACTAAGGCATAAACATGCAGGCATGTGAGTGACACACTTGAATAAATGTGAAACTACCCTTTAAAGATAATTACATGTACAAAAATATACGTCTCACAATTCTGTTCTGATTCCTGTCCTGCAGATAGCTCATGTCCAGGCGGATCGAGGCCTGCTGTGAATCTGAAAGGGAAAGTTTCAAGCATATTTTAACATTAAGCATTTTTGGAATTTGGAATATGAACACTGAGGATCATCAGTTTCCTGCAGCTTGACTTTCATCTTTTACCTTCCCCTGGTACCCTTTCTTGGCCATCCTCTGCATCTCCAGCCTCAGCTCCTCCTCCTGGACCCGAAGAGCCTCCCTGTTCTCCTCGTCCTCCTGCTCTATCCTGCACTGCTCTTCCCACCGCTGCTGGTGCTGCTGCTCCACCTGGAGTAGATACACAAACAACTTTAGGTCTCAAATGTACAGAAGTCAGCTGCTATTGTGACATCACTGTTAGAGACCCGGATTTTTTAAAAAGTCCCGGATATGCTAACCTGAGTATTTATCTCTTGCATCCGTGCAGTCCTGCGGCCCTCTTCTTGCACCGTCTCCTGTCGTCTGAGCTCCCTCTCCAGCTCCAGCTCCTGGATCAGCTCTTCCCGTCTCCTCAAGGACTCCTCCTGAGCCTCGCGGTTTTTCTGCACCTTCTGCTCCAGCTGCTGCTGTCTCACTGCAAGCACCTGTACAGGAATAAGAAAGAAGCACTGTTGTTTAGTAGTCATATGTTTTGACGAATACTCAAAGTTTTATTCTGATTTGAAACCAATTTACCTCTTGCATGAGCCGTTCTCTGGCTTTCCTCTCCTTCTCCCACTGTGCTTCTCGTTTCTCCCACACGTGTTGAGCTTCCTCTCTAAAATGAATGAGATACATTGGTTTGTATCTGAGGAGAAGCAGGGGTCGCTTCCTGCAGATTCAGAGATTACTTATTCACCTGTGAAGCAGGTCAAACTCAGCCTCCCTCTCCCGCTCCAACTGAAGCTGCTCTTCAATCACACGTTTCATCCAGGCAGCGTCAGCAATGGCCCTTTCCCTTCGCGCAGTCTCCATCCTCCTGTCCTCCTGCTGTCCTTCCAGCAAAGCTGTCAGGATCTTGCGGTCGGCTTCCTGGTGGGCACAGAGGAAGGAAGGTGTTACAGGCAGGAAAACTGGATCACATGTAGAAAAATATGCTGCATCAAAAGAGGGTGAAGTAGACTAACCAGTTCCTCCTGCACTTGCTGGGCTCTCCTCTTCAGCTGAGCACGATATTGACGGATCAAGAAATGCCTGGTGGAACACAAATCCAATGAACCCAACGCCTCACCAGAGTATCATCTCACTTGTAATCAGTAATCTGCAGAAAGAGATTCCCTTACCCCATCTCAGACTTCTTTCGCCTTTCCTCCACCTCTCTCCTTTCCTCCTCTATCTTCTGCAGCTCCCACTGCTTAACCAGCAGAGCCTCCTGCTCCTTCTTTAGACGAGTTGCCTGAGAGAGAAAAATGCTTTTAAAAAAAGCACATCTGCAATATCCCATCTCAACGTAAAAATACTTTGTCAGAGTTCTAAATACCTCCTCTTCCCGCAGCTTCAGTTCTTCCATCTGTTTGCGAAGTTCTTCAGCCCTTTTCCTCTCCTCTGCATTCTTCTTCTCCTCTGCTTGCTTCATCCTCTCCAGTGCCTCTTTTCGGGTCCTCTCGTACTCATTTTCAAAGCGTCTCTTCTCCTCCTGTTCAGCCACTTCTTGCTACATGTTTAGAGAGATGGGTCACTTACAGTAGGTGTCTAAACTTTCCTAATTATGTACCATGTTGAGGGGATTGACCTGAGTAGATTTCAGACTTGATACTGTGCTCACAGATGACATGGGCACCGTTTAATTAAAAATTAATTTTTAACATAAATAATTAGTCACGTAAAAGGACAATGACGACTTTACGTGTCATCAATGGCTTCACGGAGGTGACACTTAAGAATACTTGATGGCAATTTCATCACAGTTTGGTTTGTACACAAACTCACAAGGTCAAAAACACTTACTATCCCTAGATGGTTATTAAAACACTTGAATGAACAGAAAACTGAACTGTTTTGTCTGACAGCTGTGAAGAATTACCTGTTTCCTCTCAGATATCTGCCCCTTCCAATGGTTGACAACATGATCTTTATGTAACGCCGACTCAACCTGTGGACAGATTAAAAGAGCAGGTAGTGACAGAGGAGACAGAGATACTGATGAACCTGACCCTTAGCGGAAGGGATACCAGAACATTTTATTCTCTGGACTCGGGTTAACAGAAAGTCATGGAATATCCACATCACAAGCCCTATTAGTTTCCAGATGAGGTGGATGTCTTGAAAAGAAGTGTCAGTTTTCTCTACTCGCAGAGCTCATCAGACACACGGAGTGGTCACAAGATTCCTGAGGCCATTTATCGCTTCACCGGCAGTCAGACTTTGAGGTTAACAGGTTTGGCAACTTGTCACTTTTGCATGAATAGTTTAAACTTAGCTACCTCTCGCAACTCTGGGTTGTTTTTCTTCCAGTGTTCCCTCAGCAGCTCTTGTGCAAGCTAGGGAAAGAGAAACAATACAAGTTATACACTGACTGCATGCAGTACTGGAAGGGAAATATCCGACTAATTCAATACAACCACGTTTTTTCTTCTTTCCTCCCTTGCTTTACGAAGCTCATCAGTTTTTTGCACCAGCTGACTTGCCAGTGTGCTCCTGTCAGGGACCACTTCCCTGAGCTCCACCTCCAGCCGGTCTTGCTCCTCTTGAAGCATGGCCCTGAGCCGATTCCTGCGCTGCTCCAGGCTGGCCTTCTTTTCCTCTTCCAGTCTCTGTTTATGATATGCTGACATACTGGCAAAACAGTGAAAAACAAAACCGTTGGGTTGTCTTTATCTGGCATTTTTGTCTGTTATTTGTCTGCTGATGAGTCTGACAGACAGATTACATACTATAGACAAAGTACTACAAGATTATGCCTTCATGGTGTCTTTTTATTATTTTTATTTACACACACACACACACACACACACACACACACACACACACACAAATTGTATCACTGCATATGGATAATACTTTATGGATTTAAGAGAAGACACACTGATATTGTGCACACCTACAGTATAATCAACAAGCAACTAAATGCTGAAAAAGAGGCAGTGACTGGCACGCTGTTACTTTCAGTATATACAACTCTTTAAGTATTATTACATTTAAGATATTACTTAGTGGGAAGATAATCAATATTTGTATTCATGAGTGTACTGTACATTTTGTCGAAATGTATGAATGTTCTCTCTTTCTGGTTAGTGGATATAACAGCAAGAGACTGGTGGAATTAGGCAGCCCTAATACCTAAAAGGGCTGAGAAAATGTACCTTAAACAACATGAACTGTATTCCTAAAAATATAGATTTTTCACTGATTATTTGTATTTCGTCGTCCCAAGCCTTTTCTGTGTGGAGTTTGCATGTTCTCCCCCATGTCTGCGAGGGCTCTGTCCGGGTGCTCCGGCTTCCTCCCCCCGTTCAAAGACATGGAGGCTAGGTTAATTGGTGACTTTAAATTGCCCTTAGGTGTAAATGTCAATGTTTGTTCATTTCTGTGTGCCCTGCGACGGACTGTGACCTGTCCAGGATGTACCCTGCCTTTCGCCTAATGTCAGCTGGGATTGGCTCCAGCCCCCCCGCAACCCTGCACAGACAAGCAGGTATGGACGATGGATGGATTATATGAATTCAGTGTCTCTCACTGCATATACCAAAATTTTTGTGAATGGTAAACAACCATCAGATCGCCTTTTGGTGATTTGTTTGGTGTGAGGGAAAAACCAACCAAGACTTTTTTGCTCTAGACAAAGACCCCTTGAGAGCCTGAATGTTATAATTTATTGGGAGCATTTATGAATCACTGCCTCTTTTAAAATTGTAATACAGAGAATCTGTATATATGGGATGATTATTTACTGAGCCATCTAAGGAAGGGCAGTGAGAGAGAAACAGTACAAAAATAGTGTAGAAGTCCCCTTGGATTGCTTTATCTTTCTTATAATGTTTGAGAGGTTATTAAAAAAAAAGAGAGATTTCTGGATAGGTTTGTGAAATCATGTGGTTACATCAGTCCAACTGGATGAAGTTACCTCTGCTGGTAGGAGTGACGGGAGCTCCACGCCGCCTGTCTCTGGCTGCACACATTCTGCTGTCTGAAGTACTGAGCATGCAGCTCCCACTGCTGCCGCCACCGGGCCTCCTGCTCCCGCTGCCGGGCCAGCTGTCCAGCCAGAACCCGGGACCGACTGGGAACATGGGCTGAAAAGGTCGGCAGAGCCATAGACCTGAATCACAATTAACAGACATCATAAGCAGCAATTACCTCAACCTAACACTTTGCTTGTTTTATACGTTAATCGATTAGTTACCTGGCCAACTTAACTGTCTAACGTTACCAAACACTATTTATGTTTGTTAAGTTGACGCTAGAGGCTACTAATTCACACAAAAACAGTAAGTATCCAGTTACCTTTATGCTACATGTGTATTTGACCATGTAGTGTTTACTATTTAAGGTCAATAAAGAGCGAAACATCAAAACAATATGAACAAAGCAGTCATGTCAGCCAACGTTACAACTCTCACTCCTCAGCAACAAAGGACTTCATAGCTCGATGAGCTATAATAGCACTTACTTACCTGTTCGGTGTTAACTTGAATTGCCTTCTCTTAATGTTTGTTAAATTCAGTCCCCGTTTTGCATTTCTATACTTAAAAAAATCACCTTTTTATCAATCCCTCACTTCTCCTTAGTTACCATGGATGTGATTCCGATACACTTCCTAGTTACTCCCACGCTACGGCATGAAGTAAAGGTCAAATATACTGACGGCATGAAAAACGCGAAACGTATTTCCTTCAAACGTCGGTAAACAAAAAAGTTTTTGTTTTTGCATTTTGGAGTATCATCCATCATAATTTATTTTCTCTTGTGATTTTTAACTTGTTGGATAGCTTTTATTTCAAAGACCCTCAAGGACTAGGTAGTCTAATTGGAAAATATAGCACTGATGTACAGTAGGCTACTAGTATGATGATGATGATGATGATGATGATAATGATAATAGGCTAATGTATGCCATAGTGTTGATTTGTTATAGGTCTACACTCTTTTAATGCATCAAATATAACCTAAACAGTAACAAGCATACTATCATCATATTATTATCCACCAAACTATTATTATTTTTAGTAGTAGTAGGCTAGTAGGCCCAGTAGTAGGAAGAGTAGCTTAAGCCTATTGCTATTAGCTTTTATTGATTTTATTATGTTGTTGTTTAAGAATGACACAATATGATTACAATAAGATATTTTTATCTATTAATTAATTAAAACATTCATATTAAATAAATACATTAAAAAATAGATTTAGGCCAATTAATCTATCAATCAATCTATTACAACATTTTGAGATGTTCCACAAAACTCCATTAGTTGGCAATAAAACAGCATAATGTGATTAAACGCAGAGGAGGACTAGTGTCAGCTATTTTGAGCACATCAGCTGCAGTCCTTTGTGTTTGTTCTGGACTGGCGCCGTTTATCGGCCTTTTAACCCGACACGTGACGATGACCTGATCTATCACTAACAAGTCTATCACAGGAGCCGTCAGCTGAATACTCCATCACCAGCTGGGTTCAACGTAAGTGACTTTTGTGTTTATGTGTGTTCTGTCGTTGTTGGGTATGGCACACACACACACACACACACACACACACACACACACACACACACACACACACACACACACACACACACACACACACACACACACACTCTCTTCTCTTCTTCTGGCGTCACTGTAAATCTGCAGTAGAGGGTTGACAGCCTGTTGCTATCATTTCAGAGGTAAGAGTGTGCCCGGACTGAAAGAGATGGCTCTGTTAATGGAGCACCAGTTCAGACAGCTGCCAGCTGACAGACAGGTGGAAACACGACCGTTTCTGGAGGCTGTGTCATACCTTCCACCTTTCTTTGGTAAGTGAAGTTTCCACTGTGTGACACAGTATGTAGGTACTGCTGACATTAAATGGGGAAAGAAATGTGAAAAACGAATTCTCATATGTCAGTGGTTGCAGAGAAAAGAAGCACCTCTGTGCAGATGTATTTCTATACAGCTTATTATTGCTTTATCAGATATGTACATAGGCCAGATTGAAAGCACTGACTAAGTGATATTAATTATCTTTAATCATGTAGATTCATAGAGCTGTATAATTTAAGCCTACTGACTGTTAAATTGGCTGAGCATGCACACAAATGCAGGATTTTTATCTGACCAAAGTCCTCTGCAATGGACGTTTTCCCCCTCCATCATGCATTTTTCAAATGGGATTTGGCCAACTTTGATTAATAAACACAAAATTTTCTGCAAGGGTAATCTGTCACAACTCTTCTATCGAGCCTAATGAAACAATCTTGCTCTTTCTAAATGATAATCTTTTCTTGGATGATTGTGTTTCTCTCCATCAAGCTGCCCACAATCCTTTAGCATGCATAATTTAATCCACTGGCCTGGATTTTAAGTTGTGAAAATTGATTAGTACGGTGTTGAGTTCCCCTTGCCCATTCACTGGCGGCATGGTGCACCAGGGCATCTTTGTGCTGGCTTCATTCTGTATTAATATGCCAAAGGTCCTCTATTGAATTTGCCATGTGAAACCCTTGAGAGGAACCAAGTCTGATGTCGATATTAAGCTCTTTCCACCTTGTCACCATTGTTTTTCCTGACCCAGAAAATTCTTGGCCAACTTTCCAACAAGCTATTAAAATCCTGCACACTCTCATTGTACATTCACACAGTTATTTTACCTAGTTAGACCTCTTCTTCAGGACTACGTGGGCAGTACTTCCTGACTCTCCTGTTAGTTTTACACCTGTTTTAGCAGGATAAGTAGTTTAGTGACCTCAGTTAACTCCCACCGTGTCTCTATTCAACTTCAACCTGAGAAGAGGTCTAATTTAGCAAACCAGGAACTGAACAAATGATGCAATTTAATACATCGGATTTATTTGTATTTCAGTGTTTTTATTTACTTGTTAAATTTTACCATTAAGTTTTCCAGTGTGTAGTTGTAACAAAGATCTCATGAAGAGAGTGGAAAACAGGGAGAGCCATACAAGAGGATGTCTCAGAAACAATATATGTTGCCATCAGTGTTGTGGCGATGCATCACATCAGCACAATGGAGTGGGGTATGTCATGAGTAGTTTCCTCTAACAGCTCAGGAGATGAAAGCTGTCCGCTGAGTCAGTGGGTCAACCAGGAGCCGCGTGTGGTCCGGACTCTAGATGTCTCATTGTTCACTAACCCGTCACCAAATACTCAGGTTGTCTAGTAGCCTAATTAAAGGACACCTAATGATAATACTGTGATGATGTGTCTGTGAAAACTACTTGACTATGTTCCCAGTATTCCACTTAACACCCCCTGAAAATCTTGTTTTTTCTGAACTCTGGTGGTTTAACTTCTTACCACTTCTCACAGTGATGTACAGGTGTACTCCAGGACCCTGTGACATGGAAGTGGATTTTCACCACTGTCCCATCCCAATCCAATGAGCGGGTAAATCAATCCTGTTCTATCCAAATCCCAGAAGAATGACTCCCGTCTGATCCTATTCCAAATTTAAGAAAAATCCAAAATTAGTTTATTCATATTAGAACTGTATATTTATATATAAACTGATCTATGATTCCTGTCCTGCCTGCTCCCGTTGACTTCCCTGTCCCCATGATGAATAGCAAATTTACTCCTATCCCACAAGAATCCCACAGGAGTCCCAAAGGATTCCTGAAAAAATGTCAGCCTCTTCTTCTGACAACACTGTAGAGTGTGGTTACAGGCGCAACAGAGCACATTTCTGAACATCAAACATATCCAGAAGTTATAAAATGGGCCTGAAACTTTCAAGCAGAGAGGGCAGCAAAACACTCAGAATGCTGCTTTTCAGCCTGGTGTTAAGTTACTCTTTAAAGTTTGCCTTGTTTTGGTCAAACTTTAGGTAAAATGTTTGACAACATTATTTCACATACAGTATTTTCCTATCTGATTGATCCAGCACTTATCTAAAGCTTTATCATACAAAATACAAATTAATTAAAATAATCAGATCCAGGAGGCAATTTAATAGCTACACAATGTGATCAATTTGGAAAATTCGTAATGTCTTGTCCTTTAAATTCAACCTGACATTTTAGATATCTGGGAAACAAAATTAGTTTTTAAAAGACTGAATAAGCAGTCAGAGGTTGGAAATGTCAACAGCTTTGTTGCCAATAAATATCAAAATATCATTGTAATAGTGATTTCTTCTGAAATCAAGTTTTATGCATGTAATTTTTTTCATGATTGCAAATGTATATATATGCAATCAAGTCAGGTTTTCAAAGCTACCCTTTCAGGGACTCTGAAATCTGTTAATTGTTAGAAGTTGGTGGTCACCACAAAAAGTGCCAAACCTTTTGATTGTGGGCATTATAGCCTACTGAAAAATATAAGGGCCAACTTTTGAAATTTTCGCCGTCCACTAGCTATCCGTCTTTTCGTTTCCGCCATCTTTTAATCAACTGAGGTAAATGTTTTTATCGATGATTAAGTGAGTAAATCCATCATTGTGGGTGAGAGTAGTCGTTCTAAATGGCAGCGCCTCTAGTGTTCAAAGTGAGAAGTGCAATGACAGGGCCATCTAGTACCTAATTGTTCAAGATGACAGCGACATCTAGTGTGTAAACTAGGCTGTGCAGTGTCCAAAAGGCGCAATTTATTAGAAACAAGCTCAATCCATAGTCTAGTATGTTTTAAAAAGTTCATCGCCGTGGGCCGTAGTTTAGCCACCCTTGCTATAATCAATGATAGGCCTATTGTAAAATAGGCTCAATAGCTTTTGCTTACATGTCCTGTGTGTGAATATTTCTCCTCAGACTGCCTTGGCTCTGCTATTTTTGCACCAATAAAGGCTGACATATCTGGTAACATCACAGTAAGTATGAGTTAAATGTGTCACTCTACTCTCACATTTCTCAAAAACATTATATTAACCTAAGATGCACTGTTACACCTAATAGAAAATCAAGGCAGTTTATGATACCAACCCAGGAAGGTTCAAGACACTCCAGCAGATTGTGGAGGCAGAGAAGGAAATGCATGGAGCGCAATGGCCCAAAGTTGGAGCGACGTTGGCTCTCATGTGGCTAAAAAGGTTTGAGAAATGTAAAATTACAGGTTTTATAGAAAGTTGGTTTGTGCGTGTGTAGATTTGAGCAAGGTCTGCACCCACAATCACTGTGCGTGTCTCCTTTATCAACCAGGGGTCTACGGTTTATTCAAGTCTTCCTTCAGAGCCTGGTGGACGGTGAAAAGGATGATAGCAACCCAAACCTCATTCGTGTCAATGTCACCAAAGCTTATGAAATAGCCCTGAGAAAGTATCATGGCTGGTTTGTGCAACAGCTCTTCAAGGTTAGTTCAAAGTCTTTTGTGAGAGATACATATGTAATAGAGCAGATACATGACTTTTTCTGGGTTATTTGTGAAGAAATGAACCACTGACTATATAAAATACACAGAGTTGTGTATAATTTGGCATTTGTATTTGCTCTTTTAGGCAGCTATTTTCGCTGCTCCATACAAATCAGATTTCCTAAAGGCCGTCTCCAAGGGTCGGGATGTCAAGGAAGAGGAATGCTTGGAAAAAATCAGAAAATTCCTCCTCAACTTCTCTGCCACTGTTGATGCCGTTTATGAAATGTACAGTAAGATGAATGCTGATCTTGAATACACAGTGTGACTGCAGGAAACCATCACTTTCCTCTGGTGTCCCACTTAGTTTACAAAGTAATTTATTTTCAATAAACAGTCTACATCTTGACACAGCTCTCTTCAAGTCATCTGACACTGTGGGAGTGTGTTTATAATACTCTGTTACACATCAAATGTTTGTACACTTTAATCATCTGTGCCCCTTTTCTCAGTATGCCCTTTCCTCACTGTTGTTTGACTCTGTCGCAAAGCAGCTGCAGATTTAAACTCTGTATTAAGCATAAGCATTGCCAGACATTTTTGTCCATGATCAAGTACTCTCACAAATGTGTGATAATTATACCAAGAATAAATGTGCTACTTACTCAGCAAATGTCTTTGAGTGAGGTGTCTGATGTTGACAGATTCAGTGAGCCACATCACGATCAAAAACTGAATGTAAATCTGTTATAATCATTTGGACCATAAAGTGATTTTTTCCCCCTTTTACATACATTTATGCTATAGGCATTGAAAGAAATAGAAACAGGATGTTTTTAATTACAGTGTTAGTCCGTCCCCCCGCCTGTAAATATTGTTCTATATCCTGAGCAAGATAAGGGCTGTTTTAAAATGTGGTATGACTGCGGCTTATTTGTGGAAGTATAATTATCAGAATCCAAAACACATAATCTACTGCATGTGATTTACAAGTACTTAGGAAAAAACCCCATGTATACTCTAAATAAATACTCTATAGTTGTCCGTGTTTTCTGGGAATTGGGTTGTAGTTTTTACTTTTGAATGAATACTTTGGAAATTTATTTAAGTTATTTCATTGTTAGTCTACTATTGCACACCTGTTTGTGCCTTAAGCTGGAGCTTTTACGTAACCAAGTCAACTTCCCAGCCTTTAGTTATTTAAATTTTTGTACTTTGCATAAATCAGGCAGACTAATTAAGAAAAAAATGTTAACAGTACTGACGGTGTGGTCTGCCTCCTTTATGCTTCTAAGCTACACAGGACTTGAATGCGTATCTTAACTATTCTTCCAAAGCAAGTGCTTTTCTGTCCACTCTGCCCTCAGGTGCTGACATAAAACTGACTGTGTGTTGTTTTTAAACCTCATTGTCGAGTGTTGCATTATGACCTTTTTCCATCAACATGGTTGTTAGATAGATGGGAAATGTGAAATACTTGGGGAGGCTTGGTTAGATGTCAAATGTCATATTTTGACAACATACCTGAACAGAGGTAATGTTGGCGGCCTTTAGTTAATCAGTACTGTTTTTAATTCATGTTCTAAAATGCTGGTCTGATCTCTTATGGCTGAAACTATGTTGCAGTGTGTGTATAACATATCTTTTATTTTCAACTTATGTAATTTTTTTTTTTACATGTATATTTCTACTCCATTACATTCATAGGGAAATATTGGGAATAAATATTTGACAGCTATAGTTACTTATTACTGTAAAGATCAGCATTTTATATATTAGTAATCTCCTAAAATGTGTACTGTAATAAATTAAACTACCTAATAGTATATAAGATAGTTAAAATCATCTTCCCTTCCACCAGCTACAACTTCAAAATGCTCTTCACATGGTGATGCATCAGTAATATTTATCTAATAATATAATGTCACTCTCTGAGGAGCCATTTTGCAGACTAATGAGCACTTTTACTTTTGAAACTTTAAAGCTGGGGCAAATTATTTTGGAAGGATTTTTTGTTATATTTTCAAAATCTAGTTATCTCTTGCTAGGTTCTCCAACATTGCCTACCCCAGCTTTAAGTACACTTTGCTACTGATACTTTTGTGGTTCTGCTTGAATAAAATGATACACGCTGGACTTTTACTTGCAATTAAGCTTTTTATTTTATTTTACAAAGATGACTTTTCAGAGCTTTAAAAATTATTTAAAAAAACACAAGGAAATAAACTGGCCCCTTGACTTGGTCATTGTTAGAACAAGAGCGCTTGTTTTTCTTTTATGTATTGCTCTTCATGCTTCCTCTGTCGGGCTCACCACACCCTGCTTCTGGAGATTAATCAAAACTGTACTACACAATTGTGTGAGTTTGAATACTTGGGAAATGGGTAAGTATTTGTGAAATATTGCTCCCAGCAGGCATGTTTACTCAGCAGTGGAGCCACCTATAAAGGGCTAATTATCGAGACATTGGTTGAGAGAAAGGTAACTTTTAATGATTCCTCATGTTCCACACATAGACTGTATAGGTTCCACATGTTGCTATAATTTAAATGTATAGATTTTGTGTTGAATGTTATTTTATTACTATAATTTTTTATTAGTATTTTTAATGTTTCTTTTTATTTATGCCCAGTTATGTTTTTTAAACCTTTCCTAAAAATATGGTATGACCTTTAAAGTTTTAGAATCTAGTTTCATTTTACAACTTTTACAAAACAAACCTTTTCTTTTTTTTCCACCCCAGCAGCTGTTTGGCTCCAGGCAGAGCCCCCAGCCTCTCTTGCTCTGGATAATGTCAGCAGTGACAGAGCAGGAAGTCCCACATCACTGAGGATAGGTGCGAGTCACACAACAGACAACAAGGTCAGGAATGAACTTTCACTCTCAGCTGCATGGAGGAGAAGTCTTTAAATGGCTTTGACATTTTTATTATAACACTGCAAACTGCTGCTGACGAAGATCATGTGAAATGATGGAAAGCTCCAGAACAGCTACTAAACTGACCCTCTGGTGAGACTGATCTTGACTTGTAGCCTGGATGGCTGCTATTTGAATTTCAGGAAAAAAGCAAAAGGGTAAGTGACCTGTCAATCAGGGGAGGGGAGCCAGGGGTAGGTCTGTAAATATTGACAATGTGCTATTTTAGCCACGGATTTAAAATTCTGTATCTTAATCATCATGGATCATGCCTAAAATGAGGCTATTATTGATAGGCTATTTAATTGATGCATGAGGGTGATTCATCACCAGTTCACTTTAATAAAGATACCAGCATGCGTGCTATTCTTGTCACCATCGAAGCTTGGAATATGCAATATCATAAACGTCAATCATTTAGATCACTTAGATCAGAACAATTCTGAAAAATAATCAATTTAATGTAAAGCACCAGGCGAAACGCTGGAAAAGCTTTGTCCTCAAGCATGACCTTCCACCTGAGGGGGTTTTCTCACGCTGACAGCAAGTCCCGCTATAGGTTACTTGACAACACCCTCCTTCCTTTTTGTGAATCTTATTAGACCCCCTTTAGCAAGTTCCGGCCAAAAATCCATGATCAAACTCCACACGCCACAGGCCTATCTCTTCACTTAAAATTACAGTACCAACACACTCATGAGAGGAAGAGAAACATCATGCTGTTTGTGATGACATACAAACTGTACAAACCTGTTTTTGTATTTACATCCACAGGCTTGAGAGAAGTCCACACCTTGTTGAACAGGTCTGTGCTGTAACCTGAGATGTTTCTGAAGCCAGCACCTTGCGGTCATCGATGGTACTGCATCTCACACATCCGCGTTGGCTGCATCAGGCAAGTTGCTGCAAGTAATAAGTGGCCACTTTGTCCCACCCAAAATCTGCAAATCTGAAAGCATTCGTTGTTCTGGCTTTACCTCGACGGCAGCACACATGAATCAGAGGGATACTGTAATTCAGTTAAAGCACGTTGTGTCACAGTAAACCCGAAGAGACAGAAGAGGAACACACAGGAGCAACACTCGGGAGAAAAAAGTTTGGGAGCTTTCAAACTATGGAAAAAAGCTGCGCAGTGGTTTCTTTTTTAAGACAAAATAAAATCAACAGACTAGATTAAGGTAAGAAACAACGCTGATTCTTTTTTTAATGAGATGCCTTTTCGAAAGCATAATCACATAAAGTGATTAGATTTAACAAATCTGTGTGATGGGAAAATATTTAACTGACCTTATTAGCCTAGTTTAATAATTATCTACTGGTTGAGAGAAAGTTTACAGTGTGTGTAAAATGTCAGTTGTTACTATTTTTAATTTGGATTTTTATGTGTTTTTTCCATTAATGCCCAGTTAAAAGTACATCGTTTTACAACTTGGAATTACAAAACAAACGGATAAGATCTTTTTTTCCATCCCAGCAGTCTTGTTTGGCTCCCCCAGCCTCTCTTGCTCTGAATAAAGTCACATCAGCAGTGACAGAGCAGGAGGGTGCCACACCTCTGAGGAGACATTAGTCACTCACATTTAGAAACCTTATAAGTGGATAATATGTGAGATTTGGGTCTTGATATTTTATTATGCCTTCTATCACTCTTGACAGGTTTAATACAGAATGGGTTCCCCTTTGCCTTCACACACCTCCACCAAACAACGTAATTCTTTGCTCTTAGTCATGTTATGATAGGGGCAGCCTCTCTTTGTTCCTCCATCTTTTCACTATCCAGTGCCTGCTGAAGTGTAAAGGCATGATAATCCCGAGTGTCAGACAGGACTATGAGTCATGACCCCCTCTCCCGGGACCCCAGCTCCCCTGTTTGTGTTGCTCCTTTGCAGCACAGTCTGGCTTAGATAGGTTGTCAGTGTCATAAACAAACTGACAAAACCCAATTGGAAAGGAAGTTGCAGAGGGACATGTGAGGACGCCATGATGTACAAATTTCCATACTGTAGCAGTAAAGTGTGTGCAGAGAAGCTGCGCAATGTAAGTTACACACATGTAATGAGTAAATGTGTAGAGCATTGATTTAGTGTTTGTGTGCGTCCTGTGTTAAACAGACAGGTGGTGTGATTCTGCCTGCTAGAGAAAATATATCCCTCTGACCAATGAGAGGCCAGACTCACAGCCATGTTATTGGTGTTGGCATCAGTCCTTTCCTACTTTTTCCTTTTATCCTAACCCCAAACAGACAGAGTTCTTTATATGTTACTCAGGACCTACAGATTTTTTTTGTCTGTGTACTTCTGTGTCAGTCATTTATATGACAGCGTCTCTTTTTTGTTGTTGTTCTATAGGACGCCCACATGCTTCAGCATCATTTCCAGTTTCCCCTGAAGAGGAATTTGGCACGTCATTGTGATAAAAGGGATGAACGAGGTACAGAGGGATTAAATGTCAAATGTGCACTTTAAAATTTACTTTCTACTTACTAATTTCCAGGGTCCCCTTGCAAATCCCTTAATACAATTTCTCATTAGTTAAGTTGTTTTATTACTTTGTCAAATGCTCTTATCATAGTGGCTGGCATACAAAAAAAGTCACCATTGCTATTACTGCAGTAGTGGAGGACTGCAGCACAGACCACCCTTTTTATCAGCCAAAAAATTAATACATTTGCATTATTTTACACATCAAATATATATATATATATATATGTTTTTAAGGCTGGCATCCAACTAAATTGATCAGGAGACAGGATGCATCAGAATCTGATTGGTTTACCACCTTGGCTAAACAAATTTCTGTGACTTATACTCACTTCTTTTTAACAATCTCATCTAAAGTCAGACAAAAAATGTATCGTAGTTTTTCATACTTTCCTGAGGGTCCTAAGCTTCAATATGCAATCTGGCCTGTTGGCGATCACGGCCGGCTGCATCTTATTATCTTATTTGCATATCCTCCTTCCTCCTTTCACTAGTTTGCACATCCTCCTTCCTAATGTGACCTGAAAATTTAACAGTTCCACCATCATTAACGACAGTTAAGTCCTCCAAATGCTGCTTGAATATGTAAGAAAAACAAGCTACTGATGAAAGAAAGAACACCACACTTATGTCACACTATCATCTGATTGAATATGAGCAGATGAACGGTTTCGCTGTGGAGTTTTTGACCTTTAGTTGTGCTATGGAGCTGTTTTTCTATGAGTGGGTCCTCGTTTTGTTTATTTCATGCACGCACACATGGTTGAGGTGATATACAGTCCGACCAATGATTTCCCACTATTCCACTCATCAACAGGAGGTAAGATAGATATGCTGCAGTGCGCCAAGAAGATTGTTAGCTTGCAAACATGAATGTAAACAATTTTGGATATAAAATTCTTTGCAAATGTTTTATGAGGAAGGAAATACATTTCACACATTTGTTCATACACTTGATGTGTTTTCCTGAGTAACTCTGAATGTAAACATGACTTTTGTTTGTTGTTACAATAAAACTCCACAGGCAAGGTTATTTGTACAGCACATTTCAACAACAAGGCAATTCAACGTGCTTTACATGAAATCTAAAAGTAACAAAGGGAAGTATTTTTAAAAAAAAAGAGTTAAATAGAAAATAAAAAGGATAAGGATAAAACAGGACAGTTAACGTTACAGTGCAGCGTAAGATATTAATCAAAAGCCTTAGATTCGATTTAATTCATTTAAATGAACTGAGAATTTCAGCAGATCTGCAGTTTTCTTGGAGTTTGTTCCAGATATATGGAGCATAAAAACTGAACTCTGCTTCTCAATGTTTAGTTTTGACTTTGGGGACCAAAAGCAGACCTGTCCCAG